ATAATACCCCTGCTATGGATTTTAGAGTATTGCATCAAAGATTCTTTGCCACTTTTATAAGTACAAAGATAAAAGTCTCTTCTTCCATTTTATATAAAACATATATTTCGTTTAATATGATTTCAATCCCCTTATACTTCAATTTCTATTGAAAGTGTTAAAGGAAGAATTAACAAACGTACAAAAGCATTTTGGTGAGAATTTTCCAGAAAAAATTTATTCGTGATTGAATTCAAGCGTGATATTGTGATTTCTTTATATTTGGCTGGAAAACCAACTTTTCTGTCTCGTGCCATCGCTCGTTACCGTGATAATGGAAGCGTAGCTCGACATCAAGGAAGAGGACGGATGAAAACAGCTACTTGATCGAAACCCGCGTCGCAGTGGCTGAAAAATGGCTCGTGAGCTGAACATATCGCAATATTCCATTCAGCAAATATTAAAAAATGAGTTCGGGGTAAAGCCATTGAAAAGAAAATACTTTCAAAAGAGCTAAAGACTTGCTTCGCTAGGCCGAAAGTGATGAACTGCCGAAATTGCTTGTCTCCGATGAGAAAACATTCGTAGACCAGCAGTTTGTAATCCAAAAAAAAAAAAAAAAAAAAAAAAAATGATCGTGTTTTCTTGCCAAAGAAATCAGCTGAAAATGTGCACGGTTGCCCACCAGAACTCAAGCGTCGGCCATGGTGATAGTGTGGGCCGCCATAAATAAATGCCCAATATTAAAGCGAAAACATTCTGGAGGGTGTATTAAAGCCTTGGGCACGCAAATAATTTGGGCGCAGTCCTTGGACATTCCAACAGGACTCACCACCATCGCACTCATTACGCGCCTTCGAAGAATGGTTATAAAATGAGTTTCCTCGGTTTAATTCCAACGCACAATGGCCACCTAAATCTCCGTATACCAATCCGTTGGACTATTGTGTCTGGGTTATTTTGGAAAGCAAGGTTGGCACTAAAAATACCAACGTGTCGATTACCTCAAGCAGAAGCTTCGCCGGGAGTGGGCCGAGCTACCGCAGAGTAACATTCGGGCAGCGTGTAAGAGTTTCATTGGCTGTTTGAAGGTCATAAATCGTGCCAAAGGTGACCAATTCGAACAAATCTTTTCCGACATTCAATACAATGATTTATTTTTAATTATTTTATTATTAAATTATCTTTATCTATATATATACAAATCAATTGTTGTTTGTTGGTAACGGAATCAGTTGAGAACGGCTGGGCCGATTTGCATAATTTTTTGTACAAACGTTCGTCATACCCCGAGTTAGGTTTTTAAAGAAAAAATATTGACCACGCCTACTTTTACGCCCACTATTTCGATTTATCTAAAATCCTTATATATGCCAAAATAATGAAGATATCGGGTTGAAAATTATTACACGAGATACTGTTGACTTCCCATCCAACCCTAAGTATTTATTTGGGGGCTGAGGAACTAATCACGTCTACTTTTTAATCTAAATATATCATCTATAAAGAAAGAAAATTGTGTTAGTTACTACGCTTATAACTTAAGAACCGCTGGACTGATTTTAACGGTTCATACAAATTCGGAATTGTCTCATGGCCGAAAAGGATAAAATCCAAAAAAATCGCGTAAAATTGTGATATATTAACATTTTTATTTTGACTTTTGAAATGTACAATAGTGATGTTTTTTTATGATTTTTTTTTTCATTTTGACTTACTTTTTTCTAATGTACATTTGAAGTGTTTTTTATATTTTATTTTTGAATTCAAATATTAAAACCAATTTATTTAATTGACTTGATTTCAGAAATTGAAGGCGGGTTACATGGAATTGTAGTACCGAATTATGTGGTTGCGAAACGGAATAGATTATATCGAAATAATTTAACGCGGTCACACCAAAGTTAAAAGATAATTACTTTTTCAAAATCGCTAAAAAAAATACGAAAAATGATATCTCATTGCAAAAATTCTCAAATAGGGAAAACATCGAAAAAACATTTCTATGGAATCAAATTTTATAATAATAGTATATTCTATCGACAAACTTCGCAAGGACCTTTCAACTTCGACTGTAAAAAATCATCGAACAAGGTGAAGATTTTTTTCTTTTTTTTCTGTTTGCTTTTTTATCAATTTTGTATAATTTACGATTTTTTTTTTAATTTGGCTTATCCTATTGAATTCAGTAGATTTTTTGTAAACAAAATAAAGAATTATTTTCACAATATAAAAGAAAGTTATGTTAGGTACTACGCTTATAACTAAAGAACGGCTTGACGGATTTCGATAATTCATACAATTTCGGAACGTTATCCTGCCAAAAATCGCGGTAAAATGTGCCAATAAAAATGTGAATGAAAAACAATCTCTTTGATGTGAGAACGAAAACTCAAAAAATGCAATTCAATGGGTCTGCAATCAGTGAATATGGTAGAGCGAATTGAACATTTAGTAAAAAAGGATTTATATCCTTCCAGAAATTCTTCCTTAACTTTCATAATATTTTAAATCGCTTTTGCAGGTCATGATATATGACCTTCGGTTAAGGGTATAGCCCGATTTCGAGTATAGTTTACATTTTAACCATATTTTGAATACTCATTTCAGCAAAGGTTGGTAAATTGAGAAGGAACAATCCTCGCAAAAAATGATTACGTTTTGGTTTTAACCATCAATGATTTAATATTCGTAATTACTTTGATCGTCTTTGAATTATACTATCATGAAAAATATGAACTTTATGGGATCTCCAATGCACAATTTAAATGACAAAAATAAGTAAATTCCATTCTTACGGTAATGGGTGTAGAAGAGTAAATATCTTTAACTATTCTGAAATCATTCTGCCCCTAATTATGAGGTGGACTAAGGTGGACCAATTTCACATAGCGCGATATTCTAAACGTTGTAAATACAAATCCCAAATTACAGCTCATTTGAAGGGAAAATTTCGCTAAGCTCTTTACAATAACAAAAATTAAGTTTGAACATGGGATTATTATAGATGTTCTATATCATATAGGTTTTTAACACTCAATTAAAGCCTACGGCTGAATAATAAGATCAAGCTATTCAAACTATCTAAAAGCGACGGTGGGTAATTATCTTTTATGATTTTTGCCATGAATGTTTTTTTCTATTTAGAAATTACTATGGAGTTGTTTTACTTATAATAAAAATTGTCCCGCTCACATAAGTCTATGCTCTATTATGCATTAGAAAATATGCACTAAAGCGGACGGGGCCAGCTAGTCATTCAATAAAATTAAAAAAATAAAAATTATGGCGTTTGACGTTGTTGCAGTTTTTTTTATCTCACCCTGTATATATTGATATATGGAAAAGCTACGAACTTATATACTTCCTCTCTTTTGGTGGGTTGAATCAAAAAAGAGGACAGATGGAAGCAGTTAAACACTTTGCTGTAATACACTGAAGATAAGCGACATGCAAATGTGCACTTTTTTGCGTTTGCAAATATTTCAGAAACGGTTATTTTAATAACAATTAAAAAAACAGTAAGTTCGGCCGGGCCGAACTTTGAATACCCTCCACCATTTGGAACGAATTAGAAAATTTTCAAAAAAAAAAAAAAAAAAAAAAAATCCATTAAAAATTCTGTTGAAATCTTTAAAATATCGAATATCGGAAGGTGCCGATATATGGGAACCTATATAGACAATTACCTTTCAGGGGTTAAAGTGCTCATAAAGAACCTCTTGCGTAGAATTTCAGACAATTTCGTTGAAAAATGTAACTAAAATCATGAATATACCGAATATCGGGGGTACCGTTATATGGGTGGCTAACGATATCGTGGACCTATATAGATAATTATCTTCCAAGGGATAAAGTACTCACAATGAACTCGTCGTGTGGATTTTCAGACAATTCCGTTGAAAAGTGTGGGTAAAATCATCAAAATACCGAATATCGGGGGGTACCGTTATATGGGGGATTTACGATATCGTGGACCTATATAGATAATTCTCTTCCAAGGGATAAAATACATACAAGGAACTCCTTGTGTGGATTATCAGACAATTCCGTTGAAAAAAGTTGCTAAAATCATCAAAATACGACTATCGGAGGGTACCGTTATATGGGGGCTATACGATATCTTGGACCTTTATAGATAATTCTCTTCCGAGGTGGACCTATATAGATAATTCTCTTTCAATGGATAAAGTACTCATAAGGAACTTCTTGTGTGGATTTTCAGAACATTCCATTAGAAAATGTGGCTAAAATCATCAAAATACCGAATATAGGGGGGTACCGTTATATGGGCGCTATACGATATCGTGGACCGATATAGCCCATCTACGAACTTGACCTGCCTGCAGACAAAAGAGAGATATGTGCAAAATTTTAGCTTCCTATCTTAATTCGTCGGACGGACATAGCTAAATCGTCTTAGAATTTTACGCTGTTCAAGAATATATATACTTTGTTGGGTCTAAAATGATTATTTCGATGAGTTACAAACGGAATGACGAACTTAATATACCCTCCATACTATGTATGGTGGAGGGTATAAAAACAAAATAACCGTCATTACACGAGGGGCGTGGTTACCAAAAGGCACATTAACATACTAATTTGGGCTATAATGGATTTATATGGGCATCGAACCGATGCCTGTAATTCGATTGCAGAGAAACTACTCTAACACAAAACAATGATTACAATTTTGTAATTTTCATTTTCTCACAATAAATTAAATATCGCATAGTTGTTAAAATTCTACTAACGTCACATTAATATCGCATGCGATAAATGTATTTTGTAACTGAAGCAAGCGAAGCAGTTGAATGTGAACTAAGTGTGCTGTAAGTTTATGAATTCCTTATAGTGGCTGAAAAAAACCTCTATTAGAACACTCATATAAGTCAGATCGTTGTAAAACAATAACAACAACAAAGTATGTAATTATTTATTTTTGCAATTCATTGTCGGATTGTCTTTTCAGTTGCACTGCTTGAAAGTGAATTGTTTTAAAAAACGCCAACCTATTTTAAAAAGAATTTAGTAATGATCCGGTAACAGATTAGGTAGCATTATCGTAGTGTATCTAACGAATATAAGTTGTTATTATCGGGAATCATGAGTATAAGCTATGATAAAATTAACAAGATATGGACCAGCGAAAGGGAAGAGTCCATCTACAGTGAAAAGACTTCATTGGGAGAAATTGTCTATCAGCAGCTACAGAATTTTCCAAATAAAGTGATACAGGTTAGTTGTGGAAAAAAATCGCTGAAAGAGTCTTAATAATGGAATTCATCTTCAATAATCTTGTGCACTTAAAAAAAAACAAGTAAATACAAAAAAAAATACACTCCACCATTTGGAACGAATTAGGAAAATTTCAAAAAAAAAAAAATCAAATAAATAAATAAAATTCATTAAAAATTCTGTTAAAATCTTAAAAATACCAAATATCGGAAGGTGCCGATATATAGAAGATATACGATATTGTGGACCTATATAGACAATTCTATTTCAGGGGTAACAAAACAATTCTCCTTCAGGAGGTAAAGTACTCACGAGGAACTCCTTGTGTGGAATTTCAAACAATTCCATTGAAAACAGTGGCTATAGTCATAAAAATACCGAATATCAGGGGCCATTTATGTGGGGGCCATTCGATATGGTGGACCGATATAGCCCATCTTCGAACTTGACCTGCCTGCAGACAAAAGATAAATCTGTGCAAAATTCTTGCTTCCTATCTTAATTCCTTTTGACTGTAGCGTGATTACGACAGACGGACGGACAGAGAATTTTACGCTGATCAAGAATATATGTACTTTGGTGGGTCTAAAATTATTATTTCGATGAGTTACAAACGGAATGACGTTGGTTTTACCGACAGATGTATAACCTAAGTCAACTATTTAAATATATTTTGACATCTATTATGATTATTCAAATTGTTGACCCTATATGGAACAGGTTCCGAAGGAATGGATAAATATTTTCTGTTTCGTATCGGACTTAAATAAATATGATAAAAATATTGCGATGTCCCAGGTGTGGACAATATTGGTTATTTCCTTCACTTTTTATGAGATGGCTAATAATTTTTAGAAAATGTTAAAATGGCTGGATGTACCAGATATCGTCGACCGAAGTATTCCTTTTTCGTACTTCATCTAATACAGATAAAAAAATTGGTATGGGGAAAATTACAAGAAGATCGGACATGCACAGGGTGAGATAAAAAACTGCAAATAAGTCAAACGCCACAATTTTTACATATTTTTATATTTTATTGAACGAAAGCAAAAAACTCGGAAATAGCATCAAATTTTAGAATAAGTTTAGATTTATTCGAATTGGTCACCTTTGGCACAAATTATGGCCTTCAAACGGACAATAAAAGCGTCACACGCTCTGCGGTATTTTGGCCCATTCCCGGCGAAGCGCTGGCTTGAGGTGCTTGCTTGGTATTTTTAAGTGCCAATCTTGCTTTCCAAAATACTCGAGACACAATAGTCCAACGGATTAATTTCCGGAGATTTTGGTGGTCACTGTGCGCAGGAAATAAAGCGAGGAACTTCATTTTGTAACCATTTTTGGGTGGCGCGTGCAGAGTTCGATGGTGCTAAGTCCTGTCGGAATGCAAGCCACTCGCCTGACATCTGTTAAAAATTATTTCAATGACAGATCATTATATTTTTTACAAACCAAGAATTTTGGTGAGAATTTTATAGAAGACAAGTTATTCGTGATGGAATTCAAGCGTGATAGTGTGATTTCTTTATATTTGGCTGGAAAACCACAAGTGGTTATCGTTAGAGCACTCCAGCAGTTAAATGTGAATAAATCTTTTGTGTCTCATACCATCGCTCGTTACCGCGATACTGGTAGCGTAGCCCTACGTAAAAGAAGTGGACGGGAGATAACAGCAATATCAGCTGAAATGGTTCGAAAAATAAAGAAGCGATTTGATCGAAACCAGCGTCGCAGTGGCCGAAAAATGGCTTGTGTGCTGAACATATCGCAATATTCCATTCAGAAAATATTAAAAAATGAGCTCCAAAAGTGCAAGAACTTACACTGCAACAGAAAGAAAATAGACTCAGAAGAGTTAAAGAGTTGCTTCGCTTGACCGAAAGTGGTGAACTGCCGAATTTGGTTTTCTCCAATGAGAAAACATTCGTTATCGTGTTTACTTGCCAAAGAGGTCAGCTGAAAATGTGCACCTTCGGTTGACCACCAGAACAGCCGATGGTCGCTCTTCACTCGTATCAGTCGACCGTGGCATCAGAATAAATGCCGAATATTATCGCGAAAATATTATGCAGGGTGTATAAAAGCCTTGGGCAAGCAATCATTTTTGCCGCAGACTTTAGACATTCCAACAGGAGTCAGCACCATCGTACTCAGCACGCACCTTCCAAGAATGGTTACAAAATGAGGTTCCTCACTACATTTCCAGCGCACTATTGTGCCTAGAGTATTTTGGAAAGCTAGATTGGCACTAAAGTGTCGATCACCTCAAGCAAACGCTTCGCCGGGAATGGGCCAAAATACCGCAGAGCAACATTTGGGCAGCGCGTGACGATTTCATTAGCCGTTTGTAGGCCATAATTCTTGTCAAAGATGACCAATTCGAACACATTTAAACGTATTCTAAAATTTGATGCTATTTCCGACATTTTTTGTTTTCATTCAATAAAATTAAAAAAAAAAAATGTAAAAAGTATGGCGTTTGACTTTATTGCAGTTTTCTTATCTTACCCTGTATACCCTGTATATGTAAGATTCCAAGGAATTTTAATCCGAAAAAGTGTAGAAGAGGAGGGAACTTTACCCTTATATTTTGGCTACTTTACTATTCCAAAAAATGCCGGAAGGTGCCGATATATAGAAGATATACGATATTGTGGACCTATATAGACAATTCTATTTCAGGGGTAACAAAACAATTCTCCTTCAGGAGGTAAAGTACTCACGAGGAACTCCTTGTGTGGAATTTCAAACAATTCCATTGAAAACAGTGGCTATAGTCATAAAAATACCGAATATCAGGGGCCATTTATGTGGGGGCCATTCGATATGGTGGACCGATATAGCCCATCTTCGAACTTGACCTGCCTGCAGACAAAAGATAAATCTGTGCAAAATTCTTGCTTCCTATCTTAATTCCTTTTGACTGTAGCGTGATTACGACAGACGGACGGACAGAGAATTTTACGCTGATCAAGAATATATGTACTTTGGTGGGTCTAAAATTATTATTTCGATGAGTTACAAACGGAATGACGTTGGTTTTACCGACAGATGTATAACCTAAGTCAACTATTTAAATATATTTTGACATCTATTATGATTATTCAAATTGTTGACCCTATATGGAACAGGTTCCGAAGGAATGGATAAATATTTTCTGTTTCGTATCGGACTTAAATAAATATGATAAAAATATTGCGATGTCCCAGGTGTGGACAATATTGGTTATTTCCTTCACTTTTTATGAGATGGCTAATAATTTTTAGAAAATGTTAAAATGGCTGGATGTACCAGATATCGTCGACCGAAGTATTCCTTTTTCGTACTTCATCTAATACAGATAAAAAAATTGGTATGGGGAAAATTACAAGAAGATCGGACATGCACAGTGTGAGATAAAAAACTGCAAATAAGTCAAACGCCACAATTTTTACATATTTTTATATTTTATTGAACGAAAGCAAAAAACTCGGAAATAGCATCAAATTTTAGAATAAGTTTAGATTTATTCGAATTGGTCACCTTTGGCACAAATTATGGCCTTCAAACGGACAATAAAAGCGTCACACGCTCTGCGGTATTTTGGCCCATTCCCGGCGAAGCGCTGGCTTGAGGTGCTTGCTTGGTATTTTTAAGTGCCAATCTTGCTTTCCAAAATACTCGAGACACAATAGTCCAACGGATTAATTTCCGGAGATTTTGGTGGTCACTGTGCGCAGGAAATAAAGCGAGGAACTTCATTTTGTAACCATTTTTGGGTGGCGCGTGCAGAGTTCGATGGTGCTAAGTCCTGTCGGAATGCAAGCCACTCGCCTGACATCTGTTAAAAATTATTTCAATGACAGATCATTATATTTTTTACAAACCAAGAATTTTGGTGAGAATTTTATAGAAGACAAGTTATTCGTGATGGAATTCAAGCGTGATAGTGTGATTTCTTTATATTTGGCTGGAAAACCACAAGTGGTTATCGTTAGAGCACTCCAGCAGTTAAATGTGAATAAATCTTTTGTGTCTCATACCATCGCTCGTTACCGCGATACTGGTAGCGTAGCCCTACGTAAAAGAAGTGGACGGGAGATAACAGCAATATCAGCTGAAATGGTTCGAAAAATAAAGAAGCGATTTGATCGAAACCAGCGTCGCAGTGGCCGAAAAATGGCTTGTGTGCTGAACATATCGCAATATTCCATTCAGAAAATATTAAAAAATGAGCTCCAAAAGTGCAAGAACTTACACTGCAACAGAAAGAAAATAGACTCAGAAGAGTTAAAGAGTTGCTTCGCTTGACCGAAAGTGGTGAACTGCCGAATTTGGTTTTCTCCAATGAGAAAACATTCGTTATCGTGTTTACTTGCCAAAGAGGTCAGCTGAAAATGTGCACCTTCGGTTGACCACCAGAACAGCCGATGGTCGCTCTTCACTCGTATCAGTCGACCGTGGCATCAGAATAAATGCCGAATATTATCGCGAAAATATTATGCAGGGTGTATAAAAGCCTTGGGCAAGCAATCATTTTTGCCGCAGACTTTAGACATTCCAACAGGAGTCAGCACCATCGTACTCAGCACGCACCTTCCAAGAATGGTTACAAAATGAGGTTCCTCACTACATTTCCAGCGCACTATTGTGCCTAGAGTATTTTGGAAAGCTAGATTGGCACTAAAGTGTCGATCACCTCAAGCAAACGCTTCGCCGGGAATGGGCCAAAATACCGCAGAGCAACATTTGGGCAGCGCGTGACGATTTCATTAGCCGTTTGTAGGCCATAATTCTTGTCAAAGATGACCAATTCGAACACATTTAAACGTATTCTAAAATTTGATGCTATTTCCGACATTTTTTGTTTTCATTCAATAAAATTAAAAAAAAAAAAATGTAAAAAGTATGGCGTTTGACTTTATTGCAGTTTTCTTATCTTACCCTGTATACCCTGTATATGTAAGATTCCAAGGAATTTTAATCCGAAAAAGTGTAGAAGAGGAGGGAACTTTACCCTTATATTTTGGCTACTTTACTATTCCAAAAAATGAATTTTGTCGTACAGTGTAATCTTTAATTTAAACAATTAAAAAAGCAGTTAAGTTCGGCCGTGTCGATCTTTGAATACCCTCCAACATTTGAACGATTTTGGCAATTTTTGTCATACACCATTACAATATTTAAATGCGAAACTTGAATAAAACAATTCGGTGAATAATGTAGCCAAAATCATCAAAATTCCGAATATAGGGAGGTATCTTTATATTGGAGCTATACGAAGACGTGGACCGGCACAGACAATTTTCTGTCATAGGTTGTAGTATCCATTACAAACTTTAAACATCCATTACGAACTTTAATTCCGGTGAATAATGTCGCTAAAATCATAAAAATACCGAATATCGGGAGGTACTCTTATATGGGGCTATACGAAGACGTGGACCTGCACAGACAATTTTCTGTCATAGGCTGTATTACCCATTACGAACTTCAAATACCACATTTGAAATATTTCCGGTGAATGATGTCGCTTAAATCACCAAAATGCCTAAAAAAGGGAGGTGCCATTATATTTGGGCTACACAAAAATGTGGACCTACATAACCTATTTCCAATACCAAAAGTCCTGCAGACATAATGCACATTTGAGTACAATTTTAATCAACCTACTTCATTTCGTTCGGAAGCTAGAGGGATTTCCACATACGGTCAGACGGATGGACATTGCTAAGTCGACATAGAATTTTATGCTGATCAGGAATATATATACTTCGTGGGATCTAAAATGTATATTTCGAGGTGTTACAAACGGAATGACAAACTTAATATACGCTCCATACTATGGCGGAGGGTACTTGGATTCATTAACTGAATCCATCCTCTTTTTCTGATTTTTTGGGTAAAAAAATTTCATTCAGTGAAATTTAGAAAATAATTATAGCCTATGTTGCAAAATTTTGGGAAAATCTGTTTAACGTCCCTCACACCAAAAGCAAAGGGCTTTCATAGCGAAAAAGAAAATTTCCAACTAAAGATTAATTGCGCAGTATAATTAATGTGAATTATTTTTTTGTTGCGTATTAATTTAGCAAAACCTTACAAAATATTTAAATATGCATTCTAAGGTGGGATGTTCCAAAAATATATATTTTCTCTTCTGCTAATGACTTTTAATGGAAATACGTGGAATAGTCGTAACATGTCTAATCATTTATTTCATTTTTAGATCGATGATACAAATAATACGAAAGTAACTGCTCAAGAGGCTTGGGAGTGGGGCATACGCATCGCACAACACCTACGTCAGCTAAAATTGGATGAAAACGATGTCATTGGCATTGTGGCTTTAAATACGACATATGTTCTTCCGGCAGCGATTGGTTGTCTTTTCAATGGCACTCCAATACACACGGTCAATCCTAAATTGGATTTGGGTAAGTATCAGGAAAATTGTTATAACAATATACTACAATGTATAAGTATACACTTGGAGATATATATGTCACTAATATATTTTTTCCAGACACCATATCGCACTGCTTGAACATCACCAAGCCGAAATTGATATTTTGTGATGGCGGCAACTGCGAATTGTTACAGAAGGCATCAAGTTCTTTCAATCCTATATTTTACACGCTATCTGAACATATAAAGGGTATACCAAAAATTGTTGACATGCTGAAAGCAACAACAGGAGAAACAAAATATAGGTAAGAATCCACGCATCTTGAATTTAATTTCTAACAAGTAAAAAAGCTGTAAGTTCGGCGGGGCCGAACTTTGAATACCCCTACCATTTGGTACAAATTTGGCAATTTTCAAAAAATTAAAAACCCTTAAAAATTCTGTTAAAATCTTACAATTACCGAATTTAGCCGTAAATTAGGGCCTATAAGAGGACCTGGACCTGAATACGCAACTTTTGTCATTTGCTGTTAAAGTCCCTCACATACGTAGTATGCACTCCACAACAAGGATATTTGCTGCCAGACATTAGATATGGCTCAAAATACCTCTGCCAAAATTAATCGGTTCAGTTTTTATATAGCTTCGATATACATCTTCATCCGATTTTACAGTTGTTGCTCACCATATAAATAATACCAGCCCAAATTGGAAAGATTTTTTCATATTCAACCGAATGTTTCCATTTGGTGAAACTCGGTCCGGCATACCTATTGCTCTAATATACAGAGTGAGATAAAAAACTGCAACCAACGTCAGACTGCTGGCATTTCTAAGCCACTCGTCCGACAGCTCTTAAAATTATTCCAGTGGCAGCTCATTATATTGTTTACAAGAGTACAAAAGCATTTTGGTGAAAATTTCTCAGAAAAAAAGTTATTCGTGATGGAATTCAAGCGCGATAGTGTGATTTCTTTATATTTGGCTGGAAACCCACAAGTGTCATTCGTTAGAGCACTCCAGCATTTAAATGTGAATAAATCTTTTGTGTCTCGTACCATCGCTGATTACCTTGATACTGGTAGCGTAGCCCGACGTCAAGGAAGTGGAAGTAGATAAAAGAAAACAGCAACATCAGCAGAAATGGTACGAAAAGTAAAGAAGAGACTTGATCGAAACCCGCGTAGTAGTGACCGAATAATGGCTCGTGAGCTGAACATATCGCAATATTCCATTCGGCAGATATTGAAAAATGAGCTCGGGGTAAAGCTATTGAAATTCCAAAAAGTGCAAGACCGCAAGTGCATACACCGCAACAGAAAAAAATAGACTCAAAAGAGCTCAGGAGATGTTTCGCTTGGCCGAAAGTGGTGAAATGCCGAATTTGGTTTTCTCTGATGAGAAAACATTCGTTGTCCAGCAGTTGGTAAACAAACAAAATGATCGTTTTTACTTGCCAAAGAGGTCAGCTGAATATGAAAATTGGAGGGTGTATTAAAGCTTTGGGAACGCAAACATTTTGACCGCAGAACTTGGACATTATAACAGGACTCAGCATCATCGCACTCAGCACGCGCCACCCAAGAATGGTTACAAAATGAGGTTCCTCGCTTCATTTCCAGCGCACAATGGCCACCAAAATCTCCGGATACCAATCCGTTGGACTATTGTGTCTCGAGTACTTTGGAAAGCAAGGTTGGCACTAAAAAATACCAAAGTGCCGATCACCTAAACGCAAGTGCTTCGCCGGGAATGGACCAAAATACCGCAGAGCAACATTCGGGCAGCGTGTGATGGTTTCATAGGCCGTTTGAAGACCATAATTCGTGCCAAAGGTTACCTTTGGTCACCTTCGAACAAATGTAAACTTATTCTAAAATGTGAATCTATTTCCGATATTTTTTGCCTTCATTCAATAAAACAAAAAAAAAAAAAAGTGAAAATTATGGCGTATGAGGCGTTGCGGTTTTTTATCTCATCCTGTATATACTTTGTTTGGTCTAAAATGACAAACTTAATGAAAAAAAAAACCAAAAATACAAAAGTGGGCGTGGCTAGTTCCTCCACCCCCAAATAAATTCTTTTGGTTGGAGAAATAGTCAACAGAATGTCGTATTCCAATTTTCGAACCAATAGCTCAATTATTTTGATTAATATTATTTTTTTAAACCCTACACCACAAGGTGGTCAGGGTATTATGTCTTTGTGCATTTGTTTGTAACAGGCAAAAGGAAACGAGATAGACCCATAGTTCCTATTTATTATCTGCATAGAATCACATTCTGAGTCGATTTATGCATGTCCGTCCGTCCGTCCGTCTGTCTGTCTGTCCATGAATTTTTGTAAATAAAGTACAGTTCGCATTTATTGTCCTATCCAGATGAAATTGTGCACAAATCATTTGTTTGGCCCAAAGACGAACTCTATTGAAATTGGAGATAATCGGTCAAAATTTAGATATAGCTCCCATATATATCTTCGTCCGATTGCACCAAACGTGTAGAATCAGCCCGAATAGTATGGAATTTTGCACATACAACCAAATTAGGCCTGAAAATAAGTATGCCAAATTTGATCGAAATCGGTTCAGATATAGGTATAGCTCCCATATATATTGTTCATCCGATTTGTTATTTTTGTCCTCCGCAGCCGTAATATGCACTCTGTAATAACAATATTTGGGGAAATATATCAAATACAGCTCAGAAATACATTTGTCAAATTTTACCGAGATCGGTTTCGGTTTGGATATAGCTCCCATATATATTTATCCGATTTCAAATTAATTGTGCACCAAATCGGCAATACAAGTCCGAATTTAAGCAAGTAAAAAAGCAGTAAGTTTGGCCGGGCCGAACTTTGAATACCCTCCACCATTGGGAACGAATTAGACAATTTTCAAAAAAATGAAATCCATTAAAAATTCTTTTAAAATCTTTAAAATAGAACAGAGTTTGGCTTACTTGTTTGGGATACCATAGTATTTTGTTGTTGCAAAATCGTCAGGCGAAATCCCATTATTGTTGTTTTTATAAAAACAACGTTTGTTTATGAGTGGAGAACGATGGTAATGTTTACCAGGGGGTAAGGCAGGGAATACCTAGGTTTCGGAAAGAGCCACCAATCCTCATCAGTTCCCTTGTTTCTTGTCTGGGATATTCTCCCCAGAAGTTATTTAAAAAAATAACTTCTATGACAAAAAACATTTTTTACCCAAGTGACGAGATCGTAAGCTCAATAGAAGAGGAACAAAAGAATTACATAAAACTAAAATTCTTTTGGAAAATCTTCTAAATCTTACAACCGCACTTATAAACATTTACATCTTTCTCCACTTTGTTATGCTTTCGTTCAACCTGAACGAAGTAACATAACCATGTAAGTTTGTTTTGTCTGTTACAACAAAAACCCCTTCGTCGACCGTGCCTGTGTCTATTAATAGAACAGAGTTTGGCTTACTTGTTTGGGATACCATAGTATTTTGTTGTTGCAAAATCGTCAGGCGAAATCCCATTATTGTTGTTTTTATAAAAACAACGTTTGTTTATGAGTGGAGAACGATGGTAATGTTTACCAGGGGGTAAGGCAGGGAATACCTAGGTTTCGGAAAGAGCCACCAATCCTCATCAGTTCCCTTGTTTCTTGTCTGGGATATTCTCCCCAGAAGTTATTTAAAAAAATAACTTCTATGACAAAAAACATTTTTTACCCAAGTGACGAGATCGTAAGCTCAATAGAAGAGGAACAAAAGAATTACATAAAACTAAAATTCTTTTGGAAAATCTTCTAAATCTTACAACCGCACTTATAAACATTTACATCTTTCTCCACTTTGTTATGCTTTCGTTCAACCTGAACGAAGTAACATAACCATGTAAGTTTGTTTTGTCTGTTACAACAAAAACCCCTTCGTCGACCGTGCCTGTGTCTATTAATAGAACAGAGTTTGGCTTACTTGTTTGGGATACCATAGTATTTTGTTGTTGCAAAATCGTCAGGCGAAATCCCATTATTGTTGTTTTTATAAAAACAACGTTTGTTTATGAGTGGAGAACGATGGTAATGTTTACCAGGGGGTAAGGCAGGGAATACCTAGGTTTCGGAAAGAGCCACCAATCCTCATCAGTTCCCTTGTTTCTTGTCTGGGATATTCTCCCCAGAAGTTATTTAAAAAAATAACTTCTATGACAAAAAACATTTTTTACCCAAGTGACGAGATCGTAAGCTCAATAGAAGAGGAACAAAAGAATTACATAAAACTAAAATTCTTTTGGAAAATCTTCTAAATCTTACAACCGCACTTATAAACATTTACATCTTTCTCCACTTTGTTATGCTTTCGTTCAACCTGAACGAAGTAACATAACCATGTAAGTTTGTTTTGTCTGTTACAACAAAAACCCCTTCGTCGACCGTGCCTGTGTCTATTAATAGAACAGAGTTTGGCTTACTTGTTTGGGATACCATAGTATTTTGTTGTTGCAAAATCGTCAGGCGAAATCCCATTATTGTTGTTTTTATAAAAACAACGTTTGTTTATGAGTGGAGAACGATGGTAATGTTTACCAGGGGGTAAGGCAGGGAATACCTAGGTTTCGGAAAGAGCCATCATCATACCATCGTTCTCCACTCATAAACAAACGTTGTTTTTATAAAAACAACAATAATGGGATTTCGCCTGACGATTTTGCAACAACAAAATACTATGGTATCCCAAACAAGTAAGCCAAACTCTGTTCTATTAATAGACACAGGCACGGTCGACGAAGGGGTTTTTGTTGTAACAGACAAAACAAACTTACATGGTTATGTTACTTCGTTCAGGTTGAACGAAAGCATAACAAAGTGGAGAAAGATGTAAATGTTTATAAGTGCGGTTGTAAGATTTAGAAGATTTTCCAAAAGAATTTTAGTTTTATGTAATTCTTTTGTTCCTCTTCTATTGAGCTTACGATCTCGTCACTTGGGTAAAAAATGTTTTTTGTCATAGAAGTTATTTTTTTAAATAACTTCTGGGGAGAATATCCCAGACAAGAAACAAGGGAACTGATGAGGATTGGTGGCTCTTTCCGAAACCTAGGTATTCCCTGCCTTACCCCCTGGTAAACATTACCATCGTTCTCCACTCATAAACAAACGTTGTTTTTATAAAAACAACAATAATGGGATTTCGCCTGACGATTTTGCAACAACAAAATACTATGGTATCCCAAACAAGTAAGCCAAACTCTGTTCTATTAATAGACACAGGCACGGTCGACGAAGGGGTTTTTGTTGTAACAGACAAAACAAACTTACATGGTTATGTTACTTCGTTCAGGTTGAACGAAAGCATAACAAAGTGGAGAAAGATGTAAATGTTTATAAGTGCGGTTGTAAGATTTAGAAGATTTTCCAAAAGAATTTTAGTTTTATGTAATTCTTTTGTTCCTCTTCTATTGAGCTTACGATCTCGTCACTTGGGTAAAAAAAAATGTTTTTTGTCATAGAAGTTATTTTTTTAAATAACTTCTGGGGAGAATATCCCAGACAAGAAACAAGGGAACTGATGAGGATTGGTGGCTCTTTCCGAAACCTAGGTATTCCCTGCCTTACCCCCTGGTAAACATTACCATCGTTCTCCACTCATAAACAAACGTTGTTTTTATAAAAACAACAATAATGGGATTTCGCCTGACGATTTTGCAACAACAAAATACTATGGTATCCCAAACAAGTAAGCCAAACTCTGTTCTATTAATAGACACAGGCACGGTCGACGAAGGGGTTTTTGTTGTAACAGACAAAACAAACTTACATGGTTATGTTACTTCGTTCAGGTTGAACGAAAGCATAACAAAGTGGAGAAAGATGTAAATGTTTATAAGTGCGGTTGTAAGATTTAGAAGATTTTCCAAAAGAATTTTAGTTTTATGTAATTCTTTTGTTCCTCTTCTATTGAGCTTACGATCTCGTCACTTGGGTAAAAAATGTTTTTTGTCATAGAAGTTATTTTTTTAAATAACTTCTGGGGAGAATATCCCAGACAAGAAACAAGGGAACTGATGAGGATTGGTGGCTCTTTCCGAAACCTAGGTATTCCCTGCCTTACCCCCTGGTAAACATTACCATCGTTCTCCACTCATAAACAAACGTTGTTTTTATAAAAACAACAATAATGGGATTTCGCCTGACGATTTTGCAACAACAATCTTTAAAATATTTAATATCGGAAGGTGCCTGGAGGGGATAAAGGATATTGTAGACCTATAAAGACAAATCTATGTCTGGGTGTAAAGTGCTCACAAAGAACTACTTGTGTGGATTCTCAGACAATTCCGTTAAAAAATGTGGGTAAAGTCATCAAAATACCGAATATCGGGGGGTACCGTTATATGGGGGATATACGATATCGTGGACCGATATTGACAATTCTCCCATAAAAGCTTTTAATTCTTATGCGGAGCTCTACTATACTAGCAAAGTGGTGTAGGGTATCATAAAGTCGGCCCCGCTCGGCTTTAAGACTGTCTTTACTGGTTTACTATTGATGCATATTTATTATTTTGTTGCACAGTGTAAGTGAGGTGTATAATAAACTTCAGATAAGAAATTCCATTTATATAAAAAAAACGATATAAGTTGCCAAATTGTAATGAAAATCTTTACAACTATTTCTTTTTTATTTCCTCTAGGCCAGCTAAGCTTTCCAAGGGAGTCAAGCAAACTGTGGCAATTCTCTGTTCATCGGGGACGACGGGAAAACCAAAAGCCGTCTGCATTTCCTCCTCCCTGTTTCTATTTTACGATTGGTATGTCTGTTAAAATATTTCCTTTACTTTCCCTTAAATAACTCCAAATATTTTTTAGGATCAACAACAATGAAAGTGTCCTATACATATCCAGTGGCATTGATTGGATAACTGGCATCTACTTTCTGTTTAGCAGCTGTATTCGAGGCTTTACCAGGATAATATTTAACAAAACTTTCGAGACGAGTCATTTCTTGGAAATCCTCAAAAAATATCAAATTACCACGGCTTTTCTCTCATCGCGCTATGTTGCTGCTTTAGTTCAACACCCGGATGTATCGCGGGAAAATTTAAAACATTTGAAATCGATTACTTTTGGTGGCTCGGCGCTAAGTGAAGTTAATTCGGAGAAGTTGATACAACTGTGTTCGGAAAGTGCAAAAATAAGTTTTTGTTACGGCAGCACAGAAATGGGTCCAATTTCACAGAGATGCGAAAAACGAAAATTCAATTCGGTGGGTAAGCTATTCAACAACCTGCAACTGGCCATTGTCAGCGATGAAGGCCAACATTTGGGACCAAATGAAATTGGTGAAATTATTGTGAAAATGCCCTACCCCTGGAATGGTTATTATGGAAATCCTCAAGAATCCGCCAAGGCCGTTGATGACCATGGTTGGTTCCACAGTGGCGATGTGGGTTATGTGGATGACGACCACGATTTGTTTATTGTCGATCGTAAAAAGGAGATTTTGAAATACCGGGGGTTACAGTTCTCAACCAACGAAATTGAAGGTGTCATTGCCGAGCTGACAGGTGTTCGTGATGTTTGTGTTGTGTCGGTTTTTAATGAAACCGATGGTGACTTGGCCGGTGCCTTGGTGGTGTTGGCTGAAGGATCCAATTTAAAGCAGCAAGATGTTATTGATCATGTTAAGCAGCGTTTGGTTTCGCCGCACAAGCATCTTAATGCAGGCGCATATTTTGTGGATAAATTGCCTCAGAATCTGAATGGAAAATTGATAAAGAAAGAAGCTAGTGAATTATTGAGGAAGTTGGCTGCGAAAAATCATTTGGTTAAATGAATTTTATCTTAATTTTGGGTTCGGTATTTTAATTGTAAATAAAATAAATAGATCTACGAGAAAAATTGTTTATTTATATGCGACAAAATTTATTTATTTTTTTAAATAATAAAGGGGAAAATCCAGAAGATTATGAAAGTGGAGCTAGAACAAGTTAAAAAGTATTAGTCGATTTTTCCGACAGATGCATACTTTCAGCCAATGTTCGATTATTTAAATATAATTTGACTTCTGTTATGATTTTTCAAATTGTTGACCCTTTATGCAGTAGGTTCCGAAGGGATGGGCCAATATTGTATCGGATCTAAATAATTATGATAAAAATATTGCGATGTTCCAGGTGGGGACTATATTGAGATATGTGATAATTTTTAGAAAATGTTAAAATGTGAGTGAAGCACAATATACCAAAGTATCTCAAGCTCCATCTAATGGAGATAAAAATATTCATATAGGAGAAATTACAAAGAAATCGAACATTTATATCCAATTTTATGCGAAATCATAAATTCCATATTCATCTCAGGTTTCTGGTTGAGAGAAATATTTAGATATAGCAAGTTGTAAAAAATTGCGGACTGGTTCCGCATGTTATGACAGATAAAAGTATTGAAAATTCTGACCCTTTGTGGTTAAGGTACTAGAAGGGGTTCGCAGCTATGTGTACGTGTGAAATTTTAAGAGAATTGGTTGCTTATTTCGCATTCTTTGAGCGTATTCTTTTCTAGAAATGTTAAGCCTACGTGGGGAAGGTACCAGAAGGGTTTCGCTGATATATATCATCTTCACAACATATCTTGTTATAGCAAAAATGTTTGTCTGTGTGAAATTTGAAGAGCGTTGGATGCTTATTTCAAAATATTGTGAGGGAAGCACTAGATAGAACGGTCCTATCTCTACCATCTTTATAACAGATCTTGTGGTAATGGAAATTTTGAGATGTACCAAAATCTTAATGGAATCGAATATTAATTTCGCGTTTTATGAGCTTCATTGCTATTTAATGTTTTGATCCTTTTTTGGGGAGATACCAGAAGGAGTGAACCGATATATTCCATCTTCATACCAGACTTTGTGTTAGCAGAAATAATGGGATGTGTGTAATTTGAAGAGATCCGGATGCTTATTTCGGATTTTATAATTGTTTTGGTTATTTAAAACTTTGACCCTTTGTGGATCAAGACGGTCAGACGGAATGGTCCGATATCTACCATATTTATAACAGATCTGGTGTTGATAAAAATATTGAGATGTACCAAGTCTGAATGGAATCGAATGTTAATTTCCTTTTTATGAGCTTTATGAATATTCAAAATTGTAACCCTTTGTGGGGAACATACCAAAAGGAGTGGACCGATATATCCCACATTTACACCAAATTTTGTGTTAATCAAAATATTGGAATGTGTGAAATTTAAAGGCAATCGGAGTATTACTAATAATTTTATAAGAGTTATAATATTTCAAAATATTTACTTTTTGTGGGGGAGGTAGGTGATGGAGTGGACCGATATTGTCTATTTTTGAACGTAGTACTGATGCCAATATTAGGATTTGCAGAGTTGGAGCAAAATCGGATTTTTTTTTCTCTTCTATGCTGTAAAATATAAAATATCAAATTTGAACCAAATCGGATACTACATTCGACAGGCTAACGAACACCCATGAAAGCCCTGCAAAAGATTTAGACCTAGTGTTTAAAACTGTTATTTCGATGAGGCACGTTTTGGACGTATCATATAAAACTAGAAATACAAATTCGGTAAGTATTGTACCTAAAATCGTCAAAATACCGAATATAGGGAGGTACTGATATATGGAGCCTATACGAATACATGGACCTGCATAGACAACTTTCTGTCATAGGCTGTAGTATCCATTACCAAATTGGAAACAATTCCGGTGAATAATGTAGCTATAGCCATCAAAATACCGAATATCGGGAGGTACCGTTATATGGGGGCTATACGAAGACATGGACCTGTACATACAATTTTTTGTTTTAGGCTGTAGCATCCGTTACGAACTTCAAATACCAAATTCGAAACAATTCCGTTAAATAATGTCGCTTACGAAAGGTACTTACTGGTGCTAAATTTGATACTGCGTGAACGGTTTTTAGGTTGAAATTGGGAGATAGTTTTGAAAATACGTACTAAAAAGTACTAAGGGGCTCTAAATTTGTTATTTGGGTAATGGATTGAGTTGGAAGTCTAAAACTTGGTACCACTTTGGTACCATTTGGAATTATGTGAACAGATAGTGGGAAACCTTACTTTTGGTGTGAGAATCATTTCTAAAAAATAGGGTTGAAGGGAGTTTGGAAATGTGTACTAAGTGTAAGGAATAAATGGTACAACATTTGGTATAACTCTGTTTTGGGTGAATTGAAAAAGCTGATAAATTGAAATGTTGGCATTGGGTCCCTGCTGGTGGTAGTTTTGTTCTAAATAAGTGGTTTTGGAAATATATGCTACATTGACACGAAAAGTACTAAAAAGTGCCATATTTGGTACAATTTGGTATTGGGTGAACAGATAGTGCATGGAATCTGAAATTTAGTAACAGGTGTAGCCTGAACATATGAAGGTGATTTCGGAAATGTCCCCTATAATTGTACAAAAAGTACGAAATGGTACTAAATTTTGTAGTGGGGGAGTTTATAGAGTTTAAATCCTGAAATTTGAGATTAAGATCGTTTTTGCAACTTGTAGTTGAGAGAGAAGGAGCTGGTGTGGGATATGTGTACTAGAATTCTACTAAATGGTACTAAACTTGGTATTGAGTGAAGGGATATGGCTGGAATCCTCAAATTTAATATTGATATCACTGTTGTTAATATCTATATGGTGGTGTTTTTGGAAATGTGTACTATAATTGTACGATAAGTACTAAATAGTAAATTTGATATTGAGTAAATGGTTGATGACTGTGGTTGAGAAAAGGAGCTGGTTTTGGATATGTGTAATTGTACTAAATGTTACTAAATTGGGTATTGGTTGAAGGAATAGGGCTGAAATCGTGAAGTTTTATATAGACGTCAATGTTGGTTAGTATATGTAGGTAGTGTTGGAAATGTGTACTATTACTGTACGAAAAGTATTAAATAGTACTAAATTGGGTATTGAGTGAAGGGATAGAATTGGAATCCCGAAATTTGATATTGAGGAGTTTGTTGGTATCTGCGTTTCAGGTATGTAAGTGGTTTTGAAAGTGAGTATTGTAATTGTACGAAAAGTACTAAATGGTACAAAATTTGGTGTTGGGATGAGGGATATGGCTCGAATCTTTAAATTTGATATTAAGGTCCCTGTTGGAGTCTGGAATTGAGATATGAATGTGGTTTCGGAAATGTGTATTGTAGTTGTACGAAAAGTACTAAATGCTACTAAATTCCGTATTGAGTGAAGTGATAGAGTTTGAATCGCGAAATTTGATATTGAGGTCTCTGTTCGTATCTTGAATTGAGATATGAAGACGCTGAAATAGTTTTGGACAGAAAAATTGGATGTGGGTCCCTTGTGCAATAGTTTTAAACTAAACTGCGAAATGAAAGATTTGAAGATTTTGTGGGGAAGGTGACAGATGGGCTGAGCAGGAATCTATCGGCTCATCGCACAAGATTTTGTGTTGAGAAAAAATATTGGCATGTACGGAATTTAAGGCAATAGTGCTCTTATTTTATATTTTATTAGAGTTATAATTATTTTGAATTTCGACCCATTGTGGGGCGGTACTTGGTGGATTGGGCCAGTATTGCCCATTTTCACATCTGATCAGAATATTAAGATTTGTAAAAATTCAGGAAAATCGGATAAGGAACATCCTCTTGTTATATGAGGGAAATTATTATACCCAAAGGCCAAAGCGTGCCTAGTCGAAAAAACGGTTTTAGACCCTAGGTCTCCTTGGACCAAATCCGTTTCAGGACACTCGGAGACGATCTAGCGATGCCCGTATGTCCATCTATCTGTCTGGCTAGTGTGCACGATAAATCGCGATGGGAGTATTCGATTTAGTCCAAACTTGGAACATCGTAATATTTATAATTAAAAACAAGTAAGCAAAGGCTACTGTCGAGCAGGGCCGACCGTTGAATACCCTACAACACTATAATAAACCATACATTTTATATAGGCGAAATACTCGACAGAATTGCACAAGATATTGTGACAAATAATAAAAGAAAACCATCAGGTTTCGTTCTCTAATTTTCGAATAATAGCAACTTAAACTAATTTGCTCATTTCCAATTTATTGGTAGATGTTGCACGTAAATGGTCTTCCTAGATCTGGGACCAATATTTCCCAAAGACCTATAACCCCTCAGAAGTGGCAAAAGATTAACAGTTATTATTGGTTTTTGACTGAAACGCATCTATATGAGATACAGACATTTGACTATATTCTTCAACGAAATCAGCGTTACCGAAATAGTCAAAAGTGCGTCTTTCCTGTATTTGTGAATTCTACAAAAAGTCACTGGAATGGACATTTTCCTATTTTGTCTACAAAAGTTGGCAAACTCCTTTTTTTTGGATGGCCATCCAAAACTGCTTGGCTTTTGCAATGTGCGGTAACCCCCATTCAAATGTGCGTGAGGATCGGGCAATAATTAAGACCTGCTGATAATTTTGCAGTTTTTTTTGGTCCATTTCAACCCCTAAATATATGGCGATCATCTCCAAAAAGAGTAGGCTTCTATTCTGACCCTCATCTGATCCCCATGCACAATTTCGTTAGGATCGGGCCATAAATGCGATCTGTATATGATATCCTGATATCCTAACTACTTAGTTTTGTTAGCTTTAGAAATACTACCAAATGTTTAATTCAAAATGATAATATGCCAAAAATATGACAAAGTTGAAAAAATATGAGAAAATTTTACAAAATCAATATTTTCATCTTTAGAGAGATATTTTTATGCGATTTTTTTAGACGTTTTTTCTTTCCTGCCAAGAGGCCATTCTAAATTAATGAGAACTGTCGAAATCAGTTCAGCCGTTCTCGACATATAAGAGATCTTTCAAGCATATCTCCTTTGATAGACATATATATCGCACATATTT